AATACCACATTAACATACGAATTGAATTTGCTCTCTATTATAGCTATGTACACCAAAAAATTTGGATTGAGATTGCGTGACTCTGTAACTGACATTTGTGAAACATAATATATAAAGGTTTATAGGTTATTGAACGTATTCAACATACATAACTATCATTGTTAAAATTATAATTGTCAAAGTTAATAAAAAATGTATAGAACATAATTTATGAAATAAGTTATATATTATGCCATATAGACTAGCATAATACAAAATACTCGTAATTTGATATGACAAAAAATCATTAATTTTTTACAATGAAAATATCATCATAATTTTATCCATTTATAAGATCAACCAGAGGGGGGCACTTGCTTTCCCCCTTGAATTTTTAATTTGTTACCTATTTTTAATAATGACGAAAAATAATAATGTTCTATAAACAAAATGTATAATAACAATACCTAAATGCAATAATGACGAAACATAATAATGTACTATAAATAAAACATATAAAAAAATCTTCGTTTATTTTTTAAATCAATTTTGTCTCCCCTCCCCCTAGAAAAATGTTTGGGGGCGCTCATGGTATCTTCAGATTTCTATAACAAACGTTTCGTCAATTATTATTATTACTTATTTTCCTTTTCAGACTTATATTGGCGTATTGAATAGGCAATATAAGTGCATTACTGTGGAGAAAACCATTTTTTAATAGTCAATATTTACTTTTTAGAACATACAATGTTATAACAATTTATTATTATATATCTTGTGGTCACCAGTCTAACTTGAATTTAAGATAATTTTCACCAAATTTTGCACACGTAATATTCCAATTACTCGGTGAATATCAATAACATTTTCCAATCTCTATAGGTTGTTATAGGATGTCTCACAAAAGTATTGCATTTTAGCTAATAAAAATCGAACACTTTTTTATTTATATAAAGGGTTTCTGTTGGTAAAAGAAATAAGATTTTGATATGATTTATATACATAAATATATATATATATACATACAAACACACACAAAAATGAGCAAGTAAATACCAATCTTATGCACAGAAAATATCATGTGACTATTATGTGAGACACTAGCCACTGTAATGGATAACGTGTTAAATCTGAATTCGATGATATATCATTGTATAAAAAAAACGATTCGGAGCATCAGATAATAGCAATTTATTTCATGATATATTTTTTTTATCTTGATATTAAAATAATTTATTTTGCTATATTAGTATTACAGTAGATTGATATAATTTTTTTCCGAAAACATTTCATTTTTTATATTATCAATATTTAATTATTTTAATAATGTATATATTAGTACTATATTATATTATTGTAGTTAACTTTTAAGGCCATACCAACTTTCTATAAAATAGTGTGTGAATATAGATTATTATAGATTCGTGTTATAAGAAAATTCTTTTATAAATATTTGATGAAAATTTCAAAACGTTCTTACGATTATTCGTTTTTGAGTTAAATAAAAAAAAAAAATCGAATTTTTTTAAACTTATTTTACTTAAAAATTCCAGTTTGCCTTAATTTTTTATGTATTTTCTAGATTATTTTTAAAATACTAAGATATTTTTAATCTAAGCTTCTTTCCCTAAAAGTACCAACTAAATTTAATTTTACACCAGAAGTTACCCCCTAAGTTAAGAATCTAAACATTTTTTCTACTAGAAACTTATCAAAAATAAAAAAATAAATAATACATATCATTGTAAAATGCATATTTTGATTGCTCTGCTCAAAATTTAAAAAGAATTAATCACGAATTACCTAAGTCATTCATAAAAATTTGCAAAGAAGTATTTTTTCAAGGAATCAAATTAGAAGATTAGTTGAACTAAAATTTTTAACAAGTAATACATTTCTATTTATATATTTCTATAGTAATATTTTTACCCATTGTGTAAGTAGGTAGTTAAAAACCTGAGCAATGTTAATAAACTCACTATACTTAAACCTTTTTAAATATTTTTTTTTTAAATGTTGTAAAACATTATATTATAGAAAAACCTCTATAACTAAAAATTATATGTTTATATTTACATCTTAAAAAATTTTTACCCGTGGAAATTGCTACCATTTTTCATTCTTCAAAATAACGTTATACCCGTATTATACATCGTATGTCACTGTCCAACTTATAATTTATGAGATAAGTAACATAATATGACTTATAAGTATATCAAAATTCCATTAAGAAAAACTAAAATAATTTGTTAACATTAAAATTAGAGTTTAAAAATTATTATATAACTAAATTTTAGGTTGAGAATATTTTCCAGATAATATCGTATCTATAAATATAATTGTATTTTTTTTTTTTTAGAAAATCTATTACGAATAGGTAAAGTATTAACTTAAAAATATCTACTTACTTTATAAACATATGTATCGCGTCTTCTTGACATAACTCACTCCGCACTCGTAATTTTTAACATATAAACACAGTTTATGACAATGAATATTAAAATGTCATTAATAATCGTAAAATAATCAAATTTTCATAAAAAAAATAAAAGAATAAAAGAGTACAGTCAATTTTTTTATTTTAAAAATTAAGACAATAAATGTAACTGTACAGTATTTATGTTTAAGTCTGATATATCCAGATATGGTCAGTTTAAATAAGTGGCGCCGTGGCATGATTCAATTTAACTACAATAATATAATTTAATTAATTGGACTTGGTAAATCTTACTTAAGATAAACAGACCCAAAATTTTTAGACTTATATTATGATAATTATTTATAACGAATATACAAATGTGGTATGGGTGTGCTTGAATAGTGTTTTCATCATATTATAAGATAGTGAATAAGATAGTTATCCTTTCTATCTTTATTAATCTTTTTTTTTATTAAATATAGGTGATTATTGATTAGATTTGGATAACAGAATACATTTATCTTTCATTGGGCATCCCAGTATGTAGTTTTCTCTTCTTTTCCATTTTACGAAGTTCTTTTTTGTTTTAGCTATCCCTACTCTCGGCCGATTAAGTGTTTTCCATGGCTTGTAAGTTGTATTTCATGTTTTATCTTAGTAGTAAAATTGTCTATATTATAATAATAATAATTTCGTAAATTTTGATTTATTTTTGCTATAACATAAAATTACAAATAAACATATTATTATCAAAAACATCGCCTATCCATACTAAATAATAGTATATATACTATATAGTACACCTCATAATACGAGTTCAATATAGGTATTTAACTAGGTATACCTGTATGGTATGTTTTTGACACCTTTATTTTATATCCCTAATTTTGATCTAAAATGACAACTTGCGTCATCTATTAACTTGTTTTTCCAGGACTGATTCTACTTTTATATAAATCTAGTTATTTTTGCATTTTTTTTTTATTACCTATCGATTTAAATGATTTATAGTTATGACGATAGTGTAAAATATATTCTAAATATAATATTTTTTTATTTAAATATCATTAGGTGATTTACCTAATGATAATTAATATTAGCAAAAGGGTGTGAGGGGATACACAAAAAAAAAAGTAACAACAGAAAAATAGAATTTGATTTATTTGTAACGGTTTGTTATCTCAGTTTTATTTATTCAAAAAACGAACAAATCCAATACAAATTGTGGAAAGTAATGATCTTGAAGCTAATTTACATAAAACCAATTTTCGTTATTAAAAATGAATAATTTTTGTTATGTTACACAAACAAAAACCGAGTTTTTATACTATATAACATAGTATGCGGCGGCGACAGTGTACAATGGATTTTATGTACCATTTGTCCGATTCATTCAAATTTTTAGGTTTTGATAATTAATTAATAAAATTTATTTTATAATTTCTTTTTTATTCTGCGTGAAAATGAACAGTGTCAATTTATGGTTGAAGGTGCGTTAATGAAGCCGTGAGGGGGTGCAAATGATAAAACGTTGAAAAATACCGCTTTAAAATAGTACCGAGTGATGAATCTATGCCACAAAATTCCAGTTAGAATTCTTTAAGGATCAGTCCTAGGATCAACCCTTTTTAATATAACATAATGCAATGACATATCTGAACTCCCTAACTTTCTACTGACACTTTTTGTTGACGATATAACAGTTATAATGTTCAGTATAACCGCATCAGTTTCTTAGAAAAAAACAAAAATTTCCAAATTCAAAAACAACTACAGATAAACATAAGGCGCCATAGTTCATGAGAAATAGGCAAAACACATAACGATCGGAATACTAAATTTTAAAGACTGGATTAAAACCCAATCAAAAAATTTTCACCAGAAATTCCAAACATCAGAAGGGTGCCTCTAATTCTACAAACTTGGATTCAAGACAAAAAACAGATGCCTATGAGATCAACTAAGTTAGCTGTTATAAGTCAATACAAGATGTATTCGATCATACTGATAACTTATTACAAATATTGACGTTAGTAACGCATAAATTATATTATATTCTATTTTATTTAATCTAATTTCTTATATTCCATTTATAACTTATCGAACAAACCTTGGTTTTAAATAATTAATATTATAAAATATGTATATATGACACACCTATTTAATCTACCCAACTATAATATGTTACTATAATAGTAACATTTTAAATAATAATGTTTATAAATAAATAAAAATAAGAATAATATAGAAGATATTCTTGGAATCGAACTAAGGCCAAGGTTCGTCTTATAAATATAGTACAGTCATGCAATCGTGCACTTGAAAAGTATTATCGTATTATAGTTTTATTATGCATGACTGCATGTGTATAACGTTAGCTCTTTTCGTACCTATTCATGACATTATGCTATAACGTTGCAATACACGTTTTACTGTATTATTGCATTAACACAATAGGTAATTATCATAATATATTAGGTAGGTACCTATTTACGTGTTATTAAAATAAAATATGTTATAAAATAGATGGAATTATGAATTATGATTCATTAACCACGCGCACATTTCAGTCGGAATGGATACCTACTTACCTATCTAACAAACACGCTATTAAAATTATAAATATGACTCATCGACTCTGGTATAAAAAAATCCAACTACCAAGGAAGTAAGCAAGTGTAATAATATACTTGTGAATGGCTATAATGTGCTCGAAATTTAAGACTACGATTAATGCGTTTCACCTCGATGGTTTAGAGGTTAAAACAATTCAATGAATCTTTGGGCTTCGTGGGAAAGCGTCAGCACGCGTACATCGATCCAATAGGTGCTGTGCGTATTTAAAAAAATAAATATGTTTGATTGATTTTATTATAATCCATTAAAAACGTAATGTAATAATAATAATAAATTAACGTAATTACTACAATATTAATATTATCATAGAGTTACGCAGCAGACCCCGTTTTAAGAACCATTGACACGCGGTAAGTCGGCGTGCGGTCGCGAGTCACGCGCTAGACGTTCACTGCTCAGGTGTTGGGGTTTGGGACTGTTGGGTCACAGCTGCAGTCGTCACTGATCACTGTCGATACGTCGACATCATCGGAAGCAGATTATGTCTGGAGTTGCGATGGCCGAACGTCGGCGCCCCAAGGTCGTGTATGTGTTCAGCGGCAAGCGGAAATGCGGAAAGGATTACATCACGGACGCTCTACACAAGAGGTGACGACCGAGATATATATTATTAATCGATGACATTAAACGTAGACAGCCTATTTAAACGTCGTCAAACGAGCGACTATCTATCGCTCGCCTCGCGCGATTTGACAACGGAATTATTTAATAAAACAAATACCAGTAAAATATCACGTATCAATGTCTCGTTATACGAGTTCAATGTTTCATGGACGTCCGGTAAATTAGGCGATTTCGATTTTATGTCACATTCTCAATACTCGTAGAATATTTGTACAGGAATTGTTATTTGGTGTTATGAATTATTATTTTCATTGTGATATTTCGTAGTCGTTATAATCATATCGGTACATCAGCTCCGTTTCACACGTTGATATGTTGACAGTCTGGCCACTATCTCTGTAATAAAAGTTGTGTTAACATTAAATTCGATTTTTTAGTAGTCATAATATTAAAGTACTCTTTAAACACTACGTCATTACGTAAAACATATTATTTTGATTCACGTTGCAAAGTTGCAATGTTATTGTGTTTACTGATAAGAAATTTTTGATTACGTTTTTTTTTTTTTTTTAATATTATCATCCAACAAAAAATTGTATGATATTCTTATCATCCAGATAATACATTCGGAATTTGTGAGGTTATGTAGTATAGTATATACTTGAAAATCGGAAATCCCAATATTTAAACTTTAGTTTTAATACTTAATACATAATATTATTACATTAATTATTTTGTATCGTATTACCTAGTTCAAGTTCGACGTTACAATATTTATCTATGTAATTAATTACTGTCTGATCTATTACTAAATTCGTTAGTGTGTAAACATATTTAACAGCTATAATGTTGTGCAATAAATTACTGAATCTAGCGAGTAAAACTCTTCAAATCGTACCCACAAACCGAATAACTGTTGCTGCATCGGGTCTAAACACACGGTCGTTTTCGACACCAGTCAGTCAAGAATATGTTGTCGACAATACGATTGCACACAAAACGTTTTCCGACGGCATAATACAAACCGTCAACGAAGCCGTAAAAAATAATAACCGATTGTTTGCTGTCGTACACATATGTGGTAAGCAGTTCAAAGTTACTGACAACGACTTGGTACTTATAGATGGTTACTGGCCGCCAAATGTCGGAGACCGCATTAAATTGCAAAAAGTTCTGTTGGTTGGTGGCAAAGACTTCACGCTGATCGGTAGGCCCGTTTTAGACCCAGCCACTGTGGAAGTCACTGCAACGGTGGTTGATAAAGACTTATCTCACACTAGAACAAACTTCGAACGTATCAAACGGAAACAATACATGAGAATCAACTTTGTACGAAAAGAAATTACAATGCTAAGGATCAATTCTGTATTTATTACACAAAATATTGATAATAGAAAAGATGTTCAGGAAATGGGAAGACGTGTAATATAATTATAGCTTAGATTTTATATTGTACGAATTGATTGTAGTTAAGATATACCTTTGTATAATAAAATATTATATACTTAGATTGTTTTATAATTAATTAATGCTTTGTATATGAATAATAATTGGTTAAATATATTTAATTTACATTTAGCCATATTGTTTAAGGATCATTCTATATTCCTATTCTGATGAAGTATTGATTTATAACTTATAGATCCAATGAAAAGAAAATTGTAAATTTTTACTCATATTTGCATGATTAAGTTCCGTCACAGCGTATATTATTATAATAATAAATACCTAATAGGCTATTAATTATAATTGGAATTGGAAGTTATTATAAAGCTGAAAAAGTGTGATATTGTTATCAATATAATTGTTCTTATCACATTCATTCTGTAAACTGTGATATTATTGATAGCTAGTTAAGTATTCATATATCAACCACACATATATTATAAATGTAATCTTTTGTATAATTTAAAGTGTTATTTTAATATTTTATTTTATTATATTACTTATAATCTCCATTAATAACTATATTCCGTAGTTCAAAATTGTATTATTCTATGAACCCTAATTATTATTATTAGGTATTTATTGCATTTCCACTTAAATGTCTTCTGCAACTTTTGGTCAAAAAAGTTTTAAGCCAACACCTCCTGAAAAGGGTAGTTTTCCATTAGATCACCAAGGTCAATGCAAAAAAATTGCTTACAAATATATGTTTTGTTTGAGTGTTCACAACGGGGACAACTCACAGTGTCGTCAAGAAGCCAAAAATTATTTAGATTGCCGTATGCAAAATGATTTGATGGCAAAAGAAGAATGGACTAAGCTTGGATTGGCTGATGTTGAAAATACTAAGAAAAATAATACAACTCAATAATCATGCCACATGTCCTGATTGCTTGCAGTGCTAGTGTTGCTGCAATCAAAATACCAGATATTATTTCTCAACTCATTCAAAAGAACATTAGCACAACATTAGTCATCACGGAAGCTAGTAAACATTTTATAGATGTCGATAAAATTAGAAAAGATTTAAAAATTGATGTTTATACTGATCAAAATGAATGGGATGCTTGGAAAACTCGAGGAGATCCCGTATTACACATTGAACTTTCCAAAAAAGCCGATTTATTAGTACTTGCTCCTTTGAGTGCTAATACTTTGGCTAAAGTGAGTGCAGGAATTTGTGACAATTTATTAACATGTGTTGTTAGAGCTTGGAATGTTTCAAAACCGGTATTGTTTTGTCCATCAATGAATACTCAAATGTGGAATCATCCAGTTACTAAAGATCAAGTGGATAAATTGATTTCATGGGGATATTGTCTAATTCCTCCAATTATTAAGACGTTAATGTGTGGTGACCATGGAATTGGTGCAATGGCCGAAGTTGAAACTATTGTAAATCAAATTTTAGAAAAACTTAATAATTTGTAAAATAATCAGAACTTTTAAAATTTTTTTATTTATAAATAGGTAATTTATAACTTAATTAAATAATAAAGGTTACAAAAAAATATTGTGTTGTTGAATATTTTATTTTAGTATTATATCATAGAAAATTCTATGTTTATGATAGTTTAATGTAAATTTATCAATTGTATAAACTTAACTTATAGAATTGGATCAGATAAATGCGTAATAATTCGTCTTTCGGGCCCTATTAAAAAGCACTGGGCCCAAACTAAATCACTTCAATTAGATGAACTTCTCAGTGATGGTGAAATGAAAGAACAACATAGAAAGGCAATGATTGAATGGAGCGAAAATTTACGTACAAATGATCATGGTTATTTTTGCCGTATGGCAATAGATATGTATGATCAAAGTTAGTATATTTAAATAATACCAAAAGTATTATTTTCTTAAAATCAAATTTTTATTATTTTAGATCACTCAAAAGATATCTGGATTGTGAGTGATGCTAGAAGAAAAACTGATATTGAATGGTTCAAATCAAGTTTTGATAATTTAAAACTGATTAGAATCACAGCAGATGAATGCACAAGAAAAGAAAGAGGATGGAACTTTATACATGGTATTTACATAGAATTGAACTTTGAAAAAATAATCTCCTGTTTTAATTCTTTCTGATAAATAATTTACTAACTATAAGAATAAAGATACTATTGGTGCAGGCTACAGTATAATACTGATTAACCAGGCTAAAATATTAAAAAATACAAATAGAAGGCCTAAAAGAGGAATGTTACCTTGTAGTTGTGGTCTATCTGTAATTAATATTCAATTTCCAAATATTTTTAGGTATTATGTTTATATTTACATATCTAACCTCTGATATTCCTAGTTGGTAAATTAAGTTGTATTGAACTACAATTTAAAATTAAAAAAATAAAAATAAAGTTCTTTCTGACATATACCACCAAAGCTTATTAAACATATCTAGGAATCGTGTGCTATAATACTAAAAAAAATTAATAAGTCAATTTACGAATAATAATTTAATCGTTTATTGAATTATTAGAAAATTATTAATTTATTAATAAAATTATACTTATTATATAAGTAATAAAATAAAATATTATGATAACCATTAATAATAGGGTACAATTATTGTTGTACTTAAAAAAATATTTAGTTTATAATATAAGATTTTAGCTAAATAAATTAAATTGGTGATTTCAGTGATTGCAAATAATTAACTGTACATTAATTAATATAAGCAATATTATAATATATTACTTATTGGATATCAATCATAGTTGGTGGGAGATAATTAGAATAAATATTGTCAGTGAATGCTACTGTATTCTAGTTGATAGCTTTTAAAGAGCAAATATGTAGGTAATTTATTTATGAATTCATAGCTATAGGAGTACACACAGGGATGCCAGGTGTGTCTGGATACCCCCATAGTTTTGTATATGGGACCCAAAAATTAAAATCCTAAAGAAAGGTACCTCCATATTAAAACTGATATGAGTAAAATAAAATGTAATTTTTCTAAAATATATGGTAAATTTTTAAATATTGTAAACTCACATGGAAAAACTTATCATGATAAAACAGCTAGCTAATTTTTAAAAGTAGTAATCATGAATAACAATTGAAATTATCTTAGAAATTGGTATTAGATTAAAGGAAAAATGTTTTGTAAGTACCCCCTGAAATTTAAGTGTGCATACATAGGTACATAAATAATGCAATTGTTAATTTCCATTTGAGTCTTGGGTTATTACTTAATAATTTATTCCTATAAATTTACACTAAAAATTTCATAACAATGTTTATACCTAAATTATTAATAATTAAATATTTAAATACCTAGGTTAAATATGAAATAGACATATAGATTCTATTGACTCTAACTATGTTTGAAGAAAATAAATATTTTTTTTTGTATTTTTAATGATTGTTATGTATATAATAAATATGTATTGTTTTTAGGAGTTGACAATGCAGCATCAGAATGTGATTTGGATGACCATTTAGAATGGGATTGGGTTGTCGAAAACAACAAATTTAATGATTGCAATGAATTTATAAATGAAATAGTGAATCATGCACTGGCAATTCAATGATATTTATTGTATTTACTGAAATAGCTTAAATTTACTAGTAAAAATATTGTGTTAACTGGTTTATATATTTTTATAATGCATAAGAACTAAGTTATACAATATATCACTATAATTGTTTAATTAATATGGGTCTGCACCTAATACACATTGTTTAAATTAATATATATTGCTCAATACTATTTATTGTATAAATACTAAATACACTATATATTATTACAAGTTTTATATATTTTAATATTCTTATTAATTAGGTATTTAATATGATCCTATTACCCTAACCATCATTAAACTGACATACCTAACTGTTTAAACGTTCATAATATATAATTAGCTTGCTTTTCTCCTTCTCCCATAATAATTTTAATAAGTAACAATATATATATTATATAAACATTTCTATTTATTGTAAAAATTCAAATTAATTAAAAATGTATGAAACTTGATTTATTTAATTCTAAATTAAGTGTGAAATTTGCTCTAATTTAATTACATTTATTTCTAAGGGACTAAGTGACGTATTTATAGACGAAGAATATAAGGGATAGATCTAATTTAACTTTGATCTTTATTTTTACATGTATAGGTATGTTATTTTATATAGGTCTGTCTAAAGTGTTTAAGTACCTAAATCTAAGTTTTGCCTCCTCTCACATATTTGTATAAATACTATTTTTTGTATTAAATGTTTGTTTATATCAAAAGAAAAGAAAATTAACATACTTCTGTGTAGATAGTAGGTATATTGTTTTAATTTATATACAAAAATTAATTTTTAAAACATATTTCAAATTCTTTAAAATTATATCATACAAATACAATTTTCACGATCTCTGCAAACATATTATTATAGAATATGCACTATATATAATACAAATATACAATGAATACATACATTTTATGGTAGGTACTCTTGAATATATACGATCGAGCCTAGGCTCAACCAGCTAGTCTAAATAAATTATTTAAAAAAAAAAAATGCACCTACTAATGGACTACTTTGTACTTATCTATATTGTCATTCTCCATAATGCCACGACGGCCAAATGATTCTCAATTTTTCTTCCGATAATTTTGACGATTATTAAAATTCATAGTAATATTAGTAATAATATTAATTCAAAACAGTAACGTTTGTAATGTCCTAATATTTTTCAGATAATCATTTCAAATTGGAGGTGGCACAAACTCTGGATGACGAACATCCCTATAATGTATTAAATTTATGTCATATAAATGGACTCATGTGATCGATATTCGCGGTTGAACTATATAACAATTGGCTAATTTTTTAATAGGTTGCATTTGCATAAACTATGATCTAACCAAATCGTGGTTATGGGCGTTATGGCTTTTTAATTTTTATGTATTATTATTAGTTACAAAATATATTCGGTATGTGTATTCAAACGATAACAACAATGCTATCTACCGTCAGTTTTTTGAGCTTTTATATCTTTTACCTACTTATTAGTTATTACCGTTTTTTACCGAAAGTATTATAAAACCGACGTACCTAGCTGACTTCACTTGTTAAATAGCGTTGCCTCGTAAAAATTATATTTTCAATTCCTTGCTGGTGCCCAAAGATTTTGATCTAAACAAATTTTCCATTATTTTGTGTAGGTGATTGGTGAGTGGTGAAGTATCTTATGTCTTGTACAGACTACAAAATACCTTGTGCAGTGTGCTTATATTATAATTTATATTTTTTATCATAAAATGTAGATAGGTACCTAGGGTACCTAACTTTTTTTTAGTCGTTTACTTGTAGTTTCATATTTTTTTATAACTTTTGGATTTAAACCTAAAATCTTTAATTTAAGACTATAACACCTAATATATGAATCAATCACTATAAAATTAATAATATAACTAAAATAACTTATAAATAATTTTTATGGATAGGTAGATAAATAATCTATTTTGTTTTCATGAGATTTGTTTTCTAGATTCTAATTATTCGTCATAGCCTTAACTAGGTAACCACACGTTTGATGTGTTTATAGTTAAGGCATTCCGACGAGAGAGTTAACGAACGAATAGATGAAAATATGTAGATAAAAGTCAAATCTGGTCGTATAACCAATTAAAAAGTCTTGGACTGAAATAAAGGAATACCGAATAGACTAAATGAGTAGAATACTAGAATCAATTCACGACTTCATTCATTTAAAAGTATTGATTATTTATGTATTAAATAGTCATTAAGATCATTAAATATTTATTTTTACGTTGTAATCATCGTAATGATTAGTAAGTACCTAACAACATATTTTGTATATATATTTTTAGAAACCTATAATTGTTGCTATTTTATTACATTAAAAACAGATTATGATTTAAAAATAAAAAGTTGATAGTTGATTTTTCGGTTTAGCAGATAAACACAATGTTGAAAAATTTGGAGAATACTTAAACTTGATCATGAATTTTTTGGTTGAGAGTGCTAAGACCGTATACACACTATAGGTAAATAATGAATAGATTTGAATTAGCAACATATACCGCCATTTTTAACTCTAACACAGTTATCAGGTGGTAAGTATATATGAACCCGTCGTAATAACCACATAATAACTACAATAAATTTTCATTATCAATATTATCATACGTATTTCGTACTTTCGTAAGTCACGAAAACATTTTATTTATTTTGATTTCGCTGATACGTAAAAAACAAAACTTATTATTTTATTAGAAATGATTTCAAAACAATTAAGAAATAGTTGATGTAAAATCAAAAATATTGTTTGTTAACTACAACAGCCTAGTAGGCTCTTGCGTGTGTTTACTAATCTACTAGTTCTACTTCAAGGTTTGTATATTGTATTACTTTATTTAAAAAAACTAAAATTAGGTCTTTGCAAAAGTAAAACGCAATAATTTTGTTTTACTCGGGTAAAAGTAAAATTCTTATCATGTCTGTTTATGTATTACCTACAGTCAAAATATTCGTCAGCAATTTATTACATTTTTTCTCGTGAAATACTTTATGTGTATCCTTATTTGGTCTTGAACAGATTATTGAATCCAATTATTTTAGAATTTTGACAAACGTTTACCTAGAATATTATTGTAAGTAACAATTTGCCTCCTCCCTACCCAAAGGTGCACTGTTATGCTGCAATCGTGTTTAAAAATGAAGTCGGGCTACAATGCAAAACGAATAGTTTATGTGTTAGCCAATAGGGCCTATTCCAGAAAATCTCGGCGTGATAGAGAAATTAGAGGAGAAGAATTATTAGAACAGGAAGACGAGCTCGTAATGGTAAGTTATTTCATTTTTATTATTTTATAAAAAAAATGTATTAAAATTAGTAAATTTGTAACAGATTAAATTAGTTATGTGTAATTAGAAATGAAAAAAATAAATTGTGTTACTTATCACTTTAAATTTTAATGCCTTAGTACCTACTTAAAAATAATCTTGATACCTAATTATTATATAGTATCATTATATTGTAATAATGTAATGTTAATATATAATATGGGAAGGTAACTAGACATTTTTCTCTTGTAATTATTATCTATTTAATCTTTTGAGTTAAACTAAATTAACTTAATTTAATTAAAAAAATATTTTATTTACATTTTTTCATCTTAGAAAAGATTTTTTAATTGATTTTTACATAAATTATTATATGATTGTTTGAATAAGATTTATAAATTATAATATTCATATGATAGAAAATTGAAGATTCTGAATTCCGAACAAATCCTAATTGGCAGCTGCTACCAAGACATAAAGATAGCCAGTTCAAATTACCTAACAATTTGGGTATTGCACCTGAGGTAAGTTTATTTTTATTAAAATTTATAACTAGAAAAATAGTAAAATAAAAACACTGTTCAAATGGTTTTAGTTTAGGTATTTATATAATATAAATTTAAAATCTACTAAAAATAATGTTGATATGAATTTATAAACACGCACATACCTGAATTTCAGGTAGTATGTATAGCCAATTTTGGTCTGGATCGTGATTAGACCCTGGCCTAGTTATTTTCAATGGATCCTAATATCCCATACAACAAAATTAACTATTTTTAATATATTGCAATAAATTTATTTATTTTTAATTAAAAAATAGTTTATTATTTTAAAATTATTTGTTACTATAATTGTTATTAAAAAAAAAATGATAATCTACAGTGTTTTAGTTATATATTTTATATAATTTGATGCATAAAATGAGAAATAAGATTTTTTCTTATAAAAAATTTAAATAATTAACACAATTAAATATTAAAAACAATAAATACCCAAAAGTTCCTGGGGTCTTCACTTTTTTATTCATTTTCAGGCCTGAACTGGCCAGCCATACATTTGAGAAAATCTTGAAGGCTGCATTAAGTTTTTACTCAAACTTATGAGAGTTAACTAGAAGTTTTCTTGAAATGTGCTGAATTTTTTTTTCTGGTGGGGGTAGCTTATAGGTAAATTAATGTCTTATTTCTAATTATTACTATTGAATATTAATATGGGCTACTATACCAAATTGTGGGCCAGTAAAAAAATATTTTTTGAAGAGCTAAAACTATCCAATCCGGCCTTGTTCATTGGTATCATATATTTAAAAAAAAATACATTTATTTAGTAAAAATAGGTAAAAAGTAAAGTATAGGCTATGGATCAAACACTTAACATAAAGGGTGGTAATTACTAAATGACAGTAGATGCTTAAGCACACTTAATATATTCAAGATTTATAAGATAAAAATATATTTTCCTCAGATTATTGCATAATGTATATTAATTTCATATTTCTGCTATTGTTTAACATATTGACAGATTGTCAACAGTATTATATTATCTGAGTTACAATAACAAACTGGTATTATTATTTCATTAATTATACCTAGTTATAAGATTATTATCTCATAATTTTTTTTTTTTTAATTTAAAGCATTTTTATGATTTTTTTTTTTATGTATTTAATGTTGTTTAACAATATAGTATACATATGATTTGTTTTTAAGTCAACAATTAAGTTATGGTTTTGATTTCGATGAATATATTATTTTCCTCTTCCATTCCTTTTAGGTTTGATCCCTACCCATACTTATGCTGTTACCAATAATATAGTAGATGTTATAGATTTTGATATGATCTTATATTATAATAATTATATGTTTACAGGACTGTGTCATAACTACTAGACTAAATTATTATACTCAAGACTGTCCAATTCTTTTAAAATCTGGTACGTAGTATACTATTTATTTTATTTCTTTGAATTTATTTAATTACTAATTTTTATAATTGCTTTTATTTATTTAGAAATCACAGAGCGATTCAATGTTCCCCATTTGAAAAATTTCAGCTTGTGTATGATTACTATTAATTTAAAGCAAACCTCTAATACAAACATGTCAAATTTAACAAGACAGGTAAATATAAAAATAATACAATTTTTTGAAATTTTTGATATTACTATTTTTTTTTTTTAAATAATTAATTTTTTTTTTTTTTTTGAACATTCATTTAAGATCTATATTTTATTAATTTTTAGTATTTACATGCTGCTTTTGGTATAAGTGATCGTCTTCAAAGTGCTGGTTATTGGGCTGATTTCATACATCCTTATACTGGACTTCCAGCCATTAACCCAGGACCTAATATTGATTTTTCCGCATTAGAATTACCATACAAACATACTGTTTATCAAGTCAATACACGCAGAAAGTGCAAAGTGATTGTAGAAAAAATATCTCCTAATACTATTGGTAAGCAACAAAGAGCTTTTTTATTGCTAAAATATAAATACAGTTTGCTAACATTTATAAATGTGTACATCTATTATTTAGATAAAATTAAAAGTTGAAGAATTTCAAAAATGTATTTGAGTAAACCTAGGTTTAATCATAACCTTTTTTTATTCTTTATAAATTTCATAACATTTTGTTAAAATTTAAAAATGTTTTAAGTTTTTTATTACTGTATATTTTTATGAAGTATTAAATGTTACGTTGAAAACTTTAACTTGTACATTTAGCATATAAACGATTGTTTTACTTAATTAAATTTAATATACTTTACCTAATTTAATAAACTACAGAAATTCAAGTTCTTCATATTTCAGTTATTTTCTTTTAATAATAATTTTATTTGATAAGATTATTAAAATAGATACACATAAATTGTAAGCTAAATGTGATACTCGTCTTGTATACTACCTACCACAAAATATAATTTATCAAAATTTGTTGTATATTGATACACGCTACTTACAAATTAATTGTGTAATCATTTAAGTAGCTATCTATAGGTTGTAAAATACTATTTTTATTGCTGATAGTTTATTTATTGTTTTAAAAAATATTGTTAGTTATGTATATTGTTTTAATGTTGTTCCAGAAAACTTAAACTGATAATTTTTTTTCTTTTAATATATTAATATCTCCATTCTCTAGCAGTTCTATCATGTTTGCCAGCTATTATTATTTTTATTTCATATTTTAATTTTATATCCAATTACATAAAATCTACAAACATTCAATTGTTTGATTCTGTGTAAAATTGCATCTGTTGATTTTGTTTAGTTATTAATCCTTTTAATATATTTAACTATATAGAAAATATCGATACACCTAAATAATGTCCAAGACTTCTAAACCTAATGAGCCTGTCGGATCATATTTCTGAATAAGTAATAAATAATAATATATTAAAAACAAAAATCTTTGCCTTATTAGAATTAAAATGTACAGTAAATATTAGTTTTCTGACAGTAGTACACAGCATAAACGGTGTTGTGATAGGTAGCATACAAAACAAGGATCTTAAAAATATATTAATTTTCACATTTTGTTAGGCCATGTATAACATGTATATAACATCACAATAAATATAATTTAGAATGTAAATATTATTTTTAATATATAATCAAAAAGTAATACTTAGTTCAACTAAGTATTTATGTTAACAGTTTTATAAATTAATGCTTATTCAATTAGGTATTTAGGTACATAACTATTATTTAGGGAGTGAGGTTCATAGAGTCTAGACTGGCTCTAAAATTTTTAAATATTTAAAGTAAAAAGTTTTGTTTATTAATCATGTATAAAAATTAAATTAAAATTGTACTTTTAAATCCCCCCCCCCCCCCAAAAAAAAAAAAAAAAAATAAAAATAAAAATAAAACCTTTGCTTAGTCCCAATCTTCAATGGTATTAATCACTTAAAAAAGATTCTATGCTCCACCATAATAAAGTAATCCATGAAATTATGTAAGATTTTATATTAACAATTTTTAAAGAGATTAAATTTAATATTACCTAAATAAATATGTTGAATTATAGTATTAGCTATACATTAGTTATTGTTTATTACCTATCTTAAATAATTTCTAAGTGCATTATTATTATTTTTTTTTTAATGTTACCTTTCTTATTTTAATTATATAGTTATTACAAAGATTATTAATTTTATAATAATAAGTATGATCTAACTAAATTAAGCCTAAAATATTAATTAATTGTATTTTATCTGTAATTTTAGGTAACTTATTTACAAATGCTTTACCTTCAAAAACTGATGTTGTTGAAGATATTTTGGACGAAGTTAGTGATTTACATCAAAATACTTATGATTGAATTTTATTTTCTAGTTTAAAGTATAACATATTGGTGTCATTATTTTTAAATAAACTATAAATTATTAGTTGTGATACTTATTTAAAACTATTGTATTAAATAACAAATAAATTTGTTTATATAATATTATTTATTATTTGTTATTTTAAAAACGACAAATCAAGATAAATCTTAATTCCTGTTCATGAAAAATTTACCAATTATGTTTATAATTTAGTGTTAAGTTCTAACATATTTTTATTAGCTATAATAAGGGCTAGGGTTTTTATGAATTGTTAATTTTTTTTTTTTTTTATATATCGTTCCTTCAAAAATTTGGTAACCTTATGTCCACTAATTGTTTCATATTGATACTAATGGTGTATTTTTTATTTTGCATATTTTAAATATGAACAAATAAATTGATATTTAAATAAGTTTTGTAAACGGCTAGATGCTTTGTTACATTATGTTTTTAATTTAAATTGCATAAATCATTAATTTAGTTTTTTGAAAAAGTGAAAAAAATATTATTAATATTAGGGTTTTATTGAAAAATAAAACTAACAAAATTTGTTTAGCTTACTTAAAAAATAACTATCTAATCTATTTTAAAATTATATAATGATTCTATTTCACTAAATGATAATTTGAAAATAGTGGTAAATTCATTGTTTATTTTAGTACCTATATGCATTTTATTGCATATTTATTTTTAACAAAATGAAATGAATATTTTATTATTTTATATTACATTGAAATCCTAACCCTAATTATAATGATTGTTGTTAAAATTTTTATTTGGTCTTTAAAATATGTTGGTCTTATTCATTACATTTTAATTTGTGTGTACCTTGTAAGTTATATAAATTGTATAAATTTAAAAATATAATTATTATAGTTTTAATAATATCAGTGTTGAATTTATGTATAGGTGTTGAACTATTATAAATGATATGGAAGAAGGGAGGAGGCATTGATATAAACTATATTATAAATTAATTATTTTCTATTTCATTACATTTTACATTTATAAATTATTGAATACATTTATTATTTGATACTACAGGATTATTAACTTAAGAAAAATGTATCATGAAAAACGAAGAAGTCCTAATGATGGAAATCACAATTCAAAGCGTCAACGAATTTCTAAAAGACCTTTTACTTTTTTGGATTATAAACATATTTTGGAAAAAGTGTTTTTTAATGAAGAATTAGTTGAAGATATTAATGATGTTTGGCGATTCGTAAAAATATATGAATCATTTACTATGAAAAAAATAAACTCTGATAATTCTGTTATTCCCAATTTAAGTTCTAATCTTCTTAATCTCCCAGAAGTGTTTGACAAAATTCATTTAGTCAACCTAAAATTTAATTATTCTGATGATGAATTAGCTTCAAGATTACCTACATACGATCAAGAAGAAACTTATGAAAAGAGACCTTTAACTAAAGAAGATATATCTAAGTTTCGTGAATTGATTCTTATATACATGGATTTTAAACAAAAAGAAAAGTTTGACAAATTGAAAAAACTTAGAGAAACACAACAAAATTTACCAGTTTATCAATTCAAGTGAGCAAATTAATAACAATTATGAAATTGTCACTTTAACGCAACACTTCTTTTTGTTTTAAGAGATGAAATAATTGAAGCAGTGAAACATCATAGAGTTGTAATTATTGCTGGAGATACTGGTTGTGGAAAATCTACACAAATTCCTCAATACTTGTCAAACGCTGGTTTTAAGAGAATAGGTATATTTTTTTTAAATGGGTTCAAATTTTATTATCTAAGATTGTTTCTAATTTAAATGATCTATTGTAGCTTGCACTCAACCACGTCGTATTGCATGTATATCGCTATCAAAGAGAGTTGCTTATGAATCTTTATCCATTCATAACAATGATGTTGGATATCAAATTCGATTTGAAAAAACAGTTAATAAAGACACAAAAATTTTATTCTTAACTGAAGGATTATTATTAAGACAGGTTACTGTGTTAAACATAATTAATAAATATATTGATATTATTTTACTCTTAAAAAATGATTGAAGCAATAATTATTTACAATGTATTTATTTAGGTCTGCGGGGAGGATTTATTATCACAATATGATGTTATTGTTTTGGATGAAATACATGAACGTCATTTACATGGAGACTTTTTGTTAGGTGTTATGAAATGTTTATTGCATCAAAGATCTGATGTTAAACTTGTCCTTATGTCTGCTACAATAAATGTAGACCTGTTCAGCAAATATTTTTCTCCATTAGCCAAATTGATACAGGTAAATTATATATCTTAGTGTTTGTTTGTTTAGTTCATTATTAAATAAACTATAAAGGTTTGATATATTAGTTAGTAAAACTGTATTTGTTGTAGGTACCAGGTCGCTTATATCCAATTAAGTTAGAGTATCATCCAATTGTTAGTGAAATGAAAGTACTAGGCAAGAAATCAGAACGTTTCGATCCATCTCCTTTTATAAAAATTATGCATATGATTGATAAAAAATATCCTAAACATGAAAGAGGGGATGTACTTATGTTTTTAAGTGGTATGGCGGAAATTACAGCGGTGGTAGATGCAGCAAGAGTTTACTGTGAAAAAAATGACTCTTGGATTATACTTCCTTTGCATAGTTCAATGTCATTGGGAGAACAAGATAAGGTACTATTAATAAAACTATTAAATTTTGATTAATAATATTATAATAAAACTGCTTATTTAATTTAGGTTTTTGATTATGCACCTGAAGGTACGAGAAAATGTATTGTATCTACCAACATAGCAGAAACTTCTATAACTATAGATGGCATTAGATTTGTTGTTGATTCTGGAAAGGTAAAAGAAATGAGTTATGATTCAACCAGTAAAGTACAAAGACTTAAGGAATTTTGGGTGAGCAAAGCAAGTGCCGACCAACGCAAAGGGAGAGCTGGTATTTATCAATCTAATTTTTATTATCATTTTATTTTCACATTGCACATTTCACCTAGGTCGTACCGGTCCTGGAGTTTGTTATCGATTGTATTCTGAAGATGAATTTAATGCTATGGCAGAATACAGTACACCTGAGCTACAAAAAGTACCCCTTGATGCATTGTTATTGCAAATGGTGGCCATGGGTTTGCCTAATGCTCGACTATTTCCATTCATTGAACCACCACAACCAGAAAATATAGAAAATGCCATAGAATCTTTAAAACAACATGTAAGTTGAGAAATATAATTTTATGTTTGCATTAAAATGATGTATATATTTTATCATGTTACAGTTTTATAGTTTATTCTTTGTTAGTCTGATATTTTGATTATAGTGGTTAAATGGCTATCTTCTAAGGTGCATGATAATTGTATGTCATGTATTACTTTCTATGTCAAAACACGAGAGTGAATGAAACATATATAAGTTATTAAATGCCATATAACCAAATAAAATCAATAAACAATTTAATAAAATCAGTAGAATTTTTGAGGGTATACCTGTGGCGGATTGAGGGGGGCTACAAGGCGATCAACCCCTTCTCTCCCCTTGGGATTTTTTTGAATAGTACAAAGTTGAGCTACTAGCGACCCGCGAGCCTTTATTATCTGGTCCATGTTACATTAATTAACATTATAAACAAAATAAATGCTAATTAAAATACATAATTTTGATGATTTTGAATGACCTTTATTTTTTTACTTTCTATGTTCTGGCTTGCTAGATTTTAATTTTCTGAAAATTGGCGCTTTACTAATTCCAATTCACCCCCTCCTTAAAAATCTGCTACTGGGGTATACAAGCATATGAAGCATATACCATTTACCATTTGGTGAATATATCCTATAAAAATACAATTTTATTTTTAGAAAAATTGTGTGTAGGAGCTATATAATATATCCTCTATAACTGAATACATTTATTTATTATTTTTTTTTAAATTTAGTTTAATTAATTGTTTGCTTATAAAATTTGAATACTCATTGTATCATTACCTTTTATTTATAAACAAGCATATCTTAATTTTTTTTTTACAAAAAACCTTACTGAGTGCAATTACTAAGTAAAATTTTTTATTTTAGGGGGCATTAACAAAAGAAGAAAAGTTGACCCCTATTGGTAAAATGTTATCACAACTTCCAGTTGACATACCACTTGGAAAAATGTTAATAATGGGATCTCTGTTTGACCAATTGGAGCCTGTATTGTCATTAGCGTGTGTTCTTTCAGTTCAAACACCATTCACTAATAAAGCATATAAAGATACTGAATGCGAAGTATAATAAGATAAATAATAAAATAAATAAAAATTATAATGACTTAATTTGTTTAGAGGGCAAGAATGGATTTAGAATCTGATCATGGTGATCCAATAATTTTACTTAATGCATTTAAGCAATGGCTAGAGTTGAAGAGTAATGGTCAAAACACAAATACACGTCAATGGTGTAAAAGACGGGGTTTTGAAGAACAACGTTTTTATGAAATGACCAAACTGAGGCGACAATTTAAAGATTTGTTGGATGTAAAAATTTATTATACTTAATTTGTTTGAAAATAAAATTATAGCTCTATTATTATTTTTTAGGAATGTGGTTTAGTAAAAAATGAAGAAAAAAATATGGATGACATGACTAGTGCTGAAAGAGCTCTTAGACATGGTGAACTAAAACTGTTACGTGATTTGAAAAAAACTCACAAAGAGGAAGATTCAAGAAAGAGAAAAGTATTAAAAAAAGATATGTGGGAAATTGAGGATAATTTAGATGCTGAAGATGATTCAGTGGATATAAGAGATATAGATTTTAGATTGCGGCATAATCAACATCAAGTTAAAGTAAAAAACTATACATTTTATCATATTATAATACTAAAATACTTATTACTTAACAATTATTTTTTTTTTTTTTAGCAATTATTGAAAGGATCTACTGCAATTAGCTATAAAGACTTAATGATGTTAAAAATAATTTTAAGTAGCGGATTGTATCCTCATATAGCAATTAGTGATGAGTTCAATTCCTGCAAGGTTAAAAATATTAATATTATTTTTTGAAAATACTCTTCTATACTAAATAATTGTATTTAAATATTTTGTGAATTAAACTTTTGTATTTTTAATTTTAAACTAAATTAATTTCTTAATGTTTATTTATAGACTACTAAGGAACATTTATTTCATACTGAAGGTAAACCATTTGTATCTCTTCATCCTATGAGCTATTTTGGTAATCATGCAGATGTGCTTCAACTCACTGAATCTGAAATAATCTATGTTCCTGAGTTTAAAGGAAAAAATACTGTAAGCTCTAAGCATCAAATATTAATATATATGTAAGTATAATTATTTATTAATTTATGTTTCAATATATTTAACCAGGCCAATCATATTAAATTTAATACTTAAAACAACAAATTTTATCTTGCAATCATGATTATGTTTTTAATTAAGTTGGTTATTAAATGGAATAAAATTTCTATTAATTTATTATATTAATTTAATAATATTTATGATAATATATTTTATTTATATATAATTTAATCTCATTATAACAATAACAAATACATTTTTATTATTTTGTATATTATTATGTGGTTGGTTATTTAAAATTTAGATCACAAGACTTTTGATTATTTTAGTATTAGAAAAAATATTAATATTATCCAAATTTCAATGATAATAATATATGTTTTGTCAACTTTGTGGTTAGTTAAAAATAAAATATATTGATGATTTACAATTTTAGACTCAGAGGAGCGATGCATTTATTGATTTTGTCATGATATGTGTTTTTTGTGTATGAGCATACAATAAATTGTCAAAAAAAAAAAAATGATTCAATTTTCAAAAATGAGGGTGGTCTTAAGTATCAAATTGGGTCTAGTTTGTACTTTAGAGAGATCAAACTTAAATATATATTCATAATTGAGTAAAACAAATAAAAATTAAGAAAAAACAGTAATTTTTACTCAAATCCAATTTTTGACAAAATCGATTTTGTTTTTTTGATGTAATTTGAAAATGAATAACTGTTGATACTTGAAACTTTCACAAAATATTTATTTTAGTGTTTTCTATTAACAATAAAATTTTAACTTTTTTTACCAATGTTGATTAAAAATTGTTTAGTTGGTAGAAATGCTTGAAAATTTAATTCAAAGCTCTTTATAAGTTGTTAATTTCTTAATTTAAAAATATCAAAAATCTATTCATAATTACAATATTTTTTTTTAAACTCTTTAAGTTAGAATTTTGACAAAATTTATAAAAATTGTGAAAAATAATAATTTATATTTTAGTTAAAAATTCATAGAAAAATTTTGTTTTTATACTTAAGATTTAGAAATTTAGTACAAGGTTTTTTCTATTAATTGTCTAATCTATGTGTGAAAAAATTACAGGAAAGCTAAATAAATTTGTTATGAACATTTCAAGTTCAAATATTTATAACATTTGATATCCATTCATAAAATAATAAATTATTTCTCCAACATTTGATATTTTATTGTTCAAAAAAAAAATATATATATATAATAATAATAACAATAGATGATTAAAATTTAAATATACTAAATGTTTATATTATGTTAGTATCATTTTCATTGTACGTTAATGTTTAAAATTTTTTTTAACTTTTAGAGTTATTTATAGGCATGAACATTTTTGATTTTTTTTTAGTTTTTTTTTTTTTTAATGTTGATTAAAAACTATAAGCTGGGTAGAAATAATTGAAAATTTAATACAATATCCCACAAAATACTTCTACTTGTATTATGGAACTTTGCACTCTCAATAAGTTGGACACTCTAGGTTAATTAATGTAGATACTATTCATTTAATACAATTTAATTATTTAAAATTGGGGTTAAACCTTTAAAATATATTTATTAATTTATATTTATATAGAAGTCAAAATATTTAAAAGAGATATTCTAAGTAATTTAAATAAATAAAATAAAAAACTAATGATGAAAAATAATAGCTTAGTAATCAATCATAATTATTGCATTAGGTATCAACACTAAAAATAATAATATATTTAATTCCATTAAGATTTTTAAAGTTTATTTAATTTATTTTTAATATTAGTCAAATACTAAATTTACGTTTGTACATAATATAATGTACTATAATAATAACAACTGAAATTACATTTATAATCTGTATTATCATATAACAAGAGTATGCAATTTAGTTATTAAAATATTAACTGCTGTAGTTCTAGGCGTGGTATTAGTTTATTTCCTAAAATTATAACAGTAAAGTATTTTAATATATTATAAATTATTTTTTGAAAACAATTTTTTTTTCATCATAAGCAATCTACCAGTATTTCAGAAAAAAACAACATACGTTTTAACGTTTGTATTTTGGTTTAATTAGTTTTAATCGTTTAAAACACTATTACATGCGAGGCATCTAAATTTGAGTACGTATTATCTTAAAGCATATTCGTATTTATTACTAATAATTGATTTTTTTGTAAATTAGTCATGTAATTATACGCATGCTATGTAGGAAATATTAGAAACTTATTAATTTTTATTAGAAATTAATTTATAAGTAATATCTAGTTTTATTGTATTTTAAAACAATATTTTTTTATTTCAATTTAAAATAAAGTTCCTAACGATGATTTATATAATTTATAAAATTAAACTCGTTATTTATTCGAAAAATAAAGAACATTTTAATGTTTTTTATTTGGTCGTAAACATATATATTTATTCATTTAAGTATTTTTTTTTTTTTTTACATAATGAAATGAACGCAGAAATTAATCACGCATTATTCTATTTATGTAAAATTAAAATATTAAATCTAATTAATATTTTTATGAATTCAAGTTTTTAACATTTATGTTTCTTTTGATTATTTATTTACTTATTTTGACTATTCTAATTATTTATGATCTTACGAAAACACGAGTAAAAATTTTATTATAATAATTGTAAATAATTAATTAAAATTTTAGTTTACAAAAAAAAAAGTTTGGTTTTTTTGGCTCAAAGTTTTTTCAATTTATCATATTTTAATTACGTGTTCATGTCACATTACATACCACTTATTCTATGTACTTACATACACATACAAAATTGTTTTATTCAAACATCGTGTACCTATGTGGAACCTCAACTAAAAAGTTAAAAGGACTGTTTAAAAAAAAAAAAAATTACTTACATAAATGTTAAATATCTACTTATTTTAATTTTGTAAATATTTTTTTTTTTTAATAAACCAAGTTATAAATAATTAAATAATACAGACAGAAAGAATTACCTCTAAGATTTACCTAGCTGACTAAAGGTCAAGTTAAATCTTAGCACTACTAAAAACAAATAAATTATATCGTGACATTTTTATTTTGATTTTGAGCGGAGCTATAGATGTATTGAATTAACAATATGTTTTTTTTTAATTTTGTTATTTTTTTGTGTCAGCAGATTGTTATTGTTTTATATATTCTGGTCCACGAGAAAAGTTAACTGTTTCGTGCATGTACATTAATGACCGACGGCAATGTTATCGTTATGTTAAGTAGGGTAGGATGCGTCAACTTGGACGCTTTTAGTCAGGACACGTTTTACTTATCTCGTGGTCGGAATAAAGTAAAATAAATTCTTCAATCTTTACTCCTAAGAGTAGTTTCTAGTAGTAAATTGGATCTACTTTCTAGCTGATACTATTTAGAGGTCAAAATAATTGGGAAAAACAAAACAAAATTAAGAAAAAAACAAAAATATTTACGCTTTATCAATTTTTTTTTTATTAAAATAGTTTTTTTTTATTTATTTTCAATCTGTACAAAATAATACAATATGTAAATTTGATCAAAAGAGCAAAGACAATGACATATGGAAGACACGAATAGAGAAAATATCCTTTGACATCACTTAATAAATAATTGTTAAAATTCAAAATGTCCATCTAGTATTCATATTAGCATTTACTGAATATAATATAATTTTTGAAATATTTTATCTCTTTTTGTGCTATTTATACATTTTTGGAATAGTCTACTTTTTAGTTTATGCGCAAAAACATTTTTGTTTATGGGTAAATAAGTGAAAATTAAATGCAAGATTTCTTATAAATTATTCCTACCAGTAGTGCACAATTTTTTTCATAGTCAATTTAAGTTAAAATTCTGACGATAATGCGATTATTTAAATGAAAAGTAAACACGAATTATTTCTTTGTAATTTAAATAATATTATTTATTGAGAATTTAAATTTTTTTCTATTACGTATTTTAATATTATACTGCAGTATAGTAGGGCCATTCTCGGGGTTTTCAAATTGATTTACTAATATTATTGGTTAAAAGTAAAATCATTATATTTGAAATATATATCTATAATATATAAGATTGAGTATTAAAATTAATGAAAAGTTTATGCTGATATGATTTATTAATTAATCACATAATACATACTTTTTGGAGATATTTACATTTACATCGTAGCCTATAGTAATTATATTTATTGTATATATCTAAATATAATTTAAATATTTATATTTCTACGATTTCTTGTAATCTTACGGAAAACTTATATTAATTAGGTTAGAAAAAACTATATTTATATGAGTAAACATTGTGAATTTATAAATAAACCTAAGCATAGTTTGAAAAATAAACATAATACAATTTAACAACTTGCGGTCTATTAAAAGTTTAAAGTAATTTTGATAATTTTTAGGTCACTTTTGGAAACTACCAAAGCGTATATTATGAACTCATTACGGATGCCAGGAGCACAGACTCTTCTTTTATTTAGCAGAAACATTTGCACTAATAGGAATTTCTCTCAGTTAGTATTAATTAACTATTTTCTAGATAATCCATGAATTGCATTTATTTTTTAATTGTTCAACTGGTATTTTCTAGAATCATTTGCGACTCTTGGTTGAAACTGGAATTTCCTCTACCGGAAGCTGCTGAAAATTTAATACTTAAAGCTTCAAAACTTCGTAATACTTGGGATAATCTTTTGAAACTTAAGCTCGAAAGTATTGATATTTTTATAAACAAACTGTAGCAATTCAAGTATTTACATGCTTAATATTTGCTTATGAATTTTTAGAAAGCAGTAATAGGAGAGCAGAACGTCAACTGTCCGTAGACATGGTACAATTTATGAACGCCGAAATCGGTTACACAATAAAGAGGCTCTTAGCTGCTGATCAAAAAGTCATGTATGTCGGACCGTCTGGCGAACAAGTATCATTTACGGGTCCTAATCCTTTTTGCGGTGATGACTGGCAGGTGTGTGAAGATGATAAATATGGTGGAATAAGACTAGCACCGTATTTGACATATGATTGGTGAGCTGATATATATATTTAAACTTTAAACTATCATTATCTTACGGTCATTAATGAACTTTCAGTTTAACGGGTCAAAGCCTAGTGGTGTATGAACCTTGGGTTTGTCCCTTTTGCAACAACACAATAGAAGTGACGAGTGCTCTTGAAAAACTGCAACATCGGCAAGTATGTGACTCTCAAACTACTTCCGGCACCGCTGAAGGTATGTACATTGTACTTGTATATACGAGTATTATAACTGAAGTTTTCTTTTCTTTAATACAATTTACTCGCAAGTACTTTTGTATACTGTATATTATAATGTATACTATATTATTATAATACTGTATTGACGTATAGCGATTATAACTTTATTGATTGTAAATAATCAATCACAAGTGTAGTTAAATTTCAAATATTTTAGAATATTGAAGAAACCCTATATTTCTTCCTAGATGTTCTTAAACTATTTATAGCTATTATATTATTATAAGATAAAAGCAATATTAATGCAGGGAAAGTTGAACTGCACCTACCTTAATCAAAACGTAATACTTAAGTTGAAAAAGGAAGTATTTAATTGCACTCGATCTGATTATTTATAAAACTTATAATTATTAATTTTAATTGAAAAATGTGTGTGTATATCGATAATTTTACATAACAAAATTAATTTATAATGTGAGGAGTGCATGCGACTATCATCAAAAACATATGTGCAAATATAATCTTGTAATTTGTTAATAATCAATATTATATATATGATAAAAATATCTTTATAATACTTGAATATACTTTCTTCTGTTTTTGTCACGATCTTTATGTCGTCAAGTAATTTACAAATCATGAAAAATGAGCGTGGTTGTGGTTCGATTATTCATGAAAATTATATATTTTATAAAGAAAAACACGTGAACAATAGGTGAAGTATTATTGTATACACTGGTAATTTTCCGAAGTGCATTTGAATATCACTTATTTTTTGGTCTTAAGAGCAATTTAACAAAAATGTGTATTTTTCGACTTTATCTTATCTATTATTAGCATATGCATTTTATATCGAATTATTAGCAAATAAAAAAAATAATCGATGATATATTTTATTTTTGCGATTAAAATATAATAATATATTATTTATTTTATTGGCGAATTATGAAAGTGTATCATATTTGAGAATACCTGATTTCATATTAAATAATGTTTTTATATTAACTTTTCACTTGTAAAAAAAAGAATACGAAAAAAATAAATATGACCTTGACCTTTGTATAAATTTTAACTTAATCTAATGATATAAAATATAATACTATAAATCATGCTAAACACTTTAAACTAATGGCCTAGTTATGAAAGTAAAGTCGCAAAGAAATAAAAATGAAAATAACGTTACTCAAAAGTTATTTTTTAAAGATTACCGTTCACGTTTATACTTATCTCCATTTAGAACCTGTATAAATTAATTATTAAGACTAACAAATTTAATAAAATATAAGTATTTATTATTTCCCAAGAAATTATGTTTATATTATTGTGTTTGACTTATAGGTTCAAATATTAAAATATTTTTAGTGGTTTTATATACATTTCTCAACTCATAAAATATTAATTTCTTAATATTAAAATATTATACTAACTAGTAACTTATATGTAAAGTAGTTATGAACAACAATTATCTTGATTCCTAACTACGTTGAATATGATATATTATATAAATATATTTAAACTTAAATATTATTAATCTTAGATGCATAAAATTAAATTTAAAATGTATTTTTATTTTAATATTTAAATATTTATATTTTATATAATAGTGCATTTAATTTATATACTATATAGTATATGAGTATAATTTTAATCGAACCCGTTGACTAATATCTCTGTTGTACAAACATACAACACAGCAAAAATGCGTTTAGTAGAATTAATTGTATGTTGTTAACTTTAATATTAGAGTAAATTGATCTATTACGTAGGCTGTCCGATAAATAAGGTACAAAGTTATTTTTGGCGTAAACAATAGACGATATCGGCTTGAAATTTCCAGCATTGATAATATATGTAACAAACAACGTATTCTATGCATCATGACTATTTTACTTTAGTGTTCCGTCGAATACGTAAGTTTAAACATGGAAAACCAATATTTAAGTTTCACAAAAGAAGAAGTTCGCGCCGTCATTCGGTTTTTTAATTTTCAAAATGTTTCTCCGACTGAAATTCATAGAAAATTAACCGAAGTTTATGGCCCGCACGTAATGTCTCGAAAAAGTGTATCGGTTTGGTGTAAAAGAAAGTGTTGAAGATGAAGCAAGAAATGGTCGACCAATAAGCATGTCCACCGCCGAAACCATTGAGGCGGTCGAAAAATTGTTACGGTCGGATAGACGACTTAAAATTAGGGAAATGGCTACACAACTTGATCTACCAAAGACCACAGTACATGAAAATGTCCATGAGAAATTAAATTTTCGTAAGGTTTGTTCACGTTGGGTTCCGAAAATGCTTACACCAGACCCCACATTCAGCGGGAAAGACTAAAGCTTGGCTGGAAAAGTACAAGTGGGAATTATTGCAACATCCACAAATATAGTCCTGATCTGGCACCTTCAGATTTTTTTTTTGTTCGGTCCGTTAAAAAAAACACTTAGGAGGAACTCATTTTCAAAATGAAGAGGAGGTAATGAACGCAGTTACAGAGTACTTCGATGAAAAATGTGCTGCATATTTCCGAGATAGCATTTTAAAATTATTCCATTGTTGGGAAAAATGCATCAATTTAAATGGTGACTATATAGAAAAATAGCAAAATATGTCTAATTTATTGTGTAGAAGTTTTAAAGTAATAAATTCATTTTTCATTATTCGGTATATTTTTGTACCTTATTTATCGGACAGCCTACGTATCAAAGTTAATGTTAAGAACATTATCTATGCTTAGGCATTAGCTATTTTTTTTTAAATATTTTCATTTTTAAGCATGATATGCACAAATTTTATTGTTAATGTTACACAAGTTATAAAAGCTTGATTCTAGCTTTAAAATTAAAATATCAAAAAAGCTTATGCTTCACTATAATTAATTAAAGTTAGTAATATGAAATTGGTTCTTCTGAACGTAAATTTGATATATGGTATGTTTGCAAGACTGAAAAACACGTCATTTGAAGGTAGAATTTTTTAATAATTATTATTATGCTAGAAATAGATTTTGTATTCAGAATTAAAATAGTTAAATATTTTAGTACTTATATAACAATTATGTTAATGTCTTGAAAAAAAGTAAATACGTATCATACTCGCATAAATTTATTAAATATACTTTTTTCATATGTTTTAATGATAATTACGTATTATTATTATTAAAACCAAAAAGACATAAACAGTTTATTTAAGCTCTTTAAAAAACATAGATAATTAATAAATATAATAGTACATAGTACAGGGTAGCGGAGCAAAAACAATCACATTTGAGATAAGCGTAACTTTGGGAAGGGACATCGCATAATATTACCGAACGTCTCATTGTTTAGTAAGTGGTGGAAAGTTTAGTTGCAATGGTGCAGAGGAATATTCAATATCGCTTGTTTGCTGTAGAAACATTTTTCCGAAACAATGTTTCAATCGTAGCTACACAACGCACAATCCGCACGCGATTTGGTCTCTTTTCAGTTACAGTTATTCCCAATCACCGACCCAGACCATTCGTCTAAGAATCTTTAGATCTACCTTAAATGTTCCTAAAAATTCTTAACTCATTTTAAAATAGGTCTGCGATTGGTAACAACTGCACGCGGATGGAGATCGATTGCGTGCGGATTGCGCGTTGTGTAGCCACAATTTACTTATTGTTTCGGAAAAATGTCTTTACGGCAAACTAGCAATATTAAATATTGCACTACACCATTGCAACTAAACTTCCCGTCACATACTAAATAATGAAATGTTCGGCAATACTGTGCGATGTCTCCTCTCAAAGTTACGCTTATCTCAAATGTGGTTGTTTTTGCTCCGCCATTCTGTATATTCGTGTTTATAGTGAATTTAATAATATCTTATAAGGCTATAAGTTGTAATAATGGTTACTCAAAAATTGTATGATGTAAGTCGTATGTTTAAAAATAAATATCAAAATATGGTATGTATATAACATACAAGCACTTTATTATAATACTCGAGAATTTTAATTAAAATAATGCTTTATGTATTAATAATAATTTATTTTTATAAAAATGACAAATCATACATGTATCACTTGACGTTTTAAATCCCATAAAACAATAAGTCTTGTTTATTTAAAATATTATAAATATTAAAAGTAATATTAATAATGACTTGTGTACAAAACTGTAACTTTGAAAAAAAATTTCTATTTTAAAAATACAAGACGCATTTAATGTTCCGGAAGTGAATTGAATTTATATAAAAACAAATGTTTTCGAACTTTAAATGTTTAAATATAAAAATATATTGTAGGTAAACTTTTTTTTTTATTAATTTTATTTTAAGCTCGGTTACTAAAGGCCACCAGCTGTGGATAGAAACAGTAGATTTTTTATGTTGGGTTTGTTTGTATGGTTTGTTTTATAAAGTTAGAATACGTGTGTGTATGTGTGTGTACCATGGATTCGTCACTAAGAACCTAGGTGGTCACCCATCCGAGAGTTAGCGACGTCGGGGCTGATGCTTGATCTCAAAACTCATTAGTGACCCAACCCAACCACCTCACCACACCAGGCCATACTTTTTTGTATTTTAGTTAAATTTTTTACATTATTTTTGTTCATGCTCTCATTGACTTAGATTAAATTGTTTATATAATAAAATGAAATAATCATTATAATTGATTATATGTAAGAAAACAACATTTTTTTACGAATCTTTAAGGAATAAAAACATATTATAATATCTAAAATAATAATTATATATGTACACACCTGTTGTTATTTTATTCAGTTTTAAATTAAAAATAGCTTAAATAGTTTTGATTAAATGATTTTATTTAATAACATATTTTAATATCAATCATTTTAACCTCTACGTCTTTCATTCTCTATTTCTCGCTATTGTAGTTCTTATTAGCATATTATCGTATCTTTATATTTTAAATGCTCCTATTGCAATTTTTCAAAACATATTTTTCTACTCTGAATGATTTTTTTTTATGTAATGATGCATAATATTTTAATCATATGCTTACGTAAATCATCAAACATAATATTTTGGTACGTATGTATTAAATAATCTAAAACTGTTCTTTTATTTTTAATTAAATACAATAAATAAATCCGTTTTATATTTTTGAAGGATCTGAATTTTGGGGATTTTGAAAATTTAAGTTCAGCGTAATACATCTTTTATTCTTTTACTTAAATTGAGATATTAGTTTAGAGGCATCTTTCAAAAATGTAACTACATTAAAGTGAAAGAACTTTAAAAAAATATTTGTCAAACGTCTATTTTTACTATCCTTAACGTCTAAAGATGATATATTATAATTTTCCACAAACTTTGCAAACTAAGTACATCAATATATAATATTAAATTTGTAAGGTAAATTTCAAAGTCTATAGGAAACGTCATTTTTGAAGGGTTACCCCGAATAGTTGTGTGGATTTTTTTGGAGAAGTTAGTAAAATGATGAAATTTCCTTTAAGAAAGTGTTTCAGATATTTGGAGTTTACGTGTAGGAAATAATTAACTATTGTACTCATTTTTGTGATATTAACGACAATAAATAAAAACTAAACCGTAATTAATTTTAAATTATAACACAATAAAACGAGCTTAATAATTATTGCATTGTTTACTCAAATAACTATTGTACAATTGTATCATTTTTAGTTTATGAGCGAATCTCTTTAAATATTAAGGTAATATCGCAATGTGTTTAATGTTTGTTACTATTTTTTTTTATATATATAAAATAATATTTCTAAACTTCAATACTTTGCATATAGTGTTAAAAATATTAAATTGCGGTTTTTTTTTTTAAAAATTAAACGGGAATTGCTTCATTTTTAATTATCCCAATTAATTTTAGTTTTTATTAATGTATTATTGATTAGAAGATGGCTTGTTGTCACCTATATACTTCTTTCACGCCCATAAAGAAAAACTTCAATTGCGCTTAATAAAATTAAAGATCATGAAAATATTTGTTTACGTCAAGTAATATTGTAAATCAATAAATTTGGCAATAGTGCAGTAAAACTTAAGATTAAATTGTTTGCCCTGCATATTTTAGACTTCTAACTGACAGAATCAAATATATTATAATTATTCTAATGTGGTTAAAAATTAAGCTTTGCTGTTCTGTTACATCATTATTTTGATTAGGTTAGGTTAGGTTACGTACAAATTAAAATATTATTTTTTATATAATTTACTGTAACCATTGATTCGCTTGTAGATGATAAAATAATTTCTGATTGTTAAAATGTATGAACTTACTTTTTGAAAAACCATTTTGTATGTTTCTATAAAGGTATTAATTCTACCATAAATTAATTTAACATACTCGTTATCTAACATTTCAAAACTGTTCTTTGTCATTTCAGAACGTATAATTTTAATTGGACGGCAGTCATATATTTGCCTTTTTTTGTACACGCTTCGAATAATTTGACGATTTAGGTTTTTCTCATTAGTATTATAGTTATGAATTAAATTGCTACTCACGGTTAAATTTCCATTTTCAATAATAATATTACTATATACGATTTTATTGTACTACGCCACGTTATATCACCAAATTTATTTTCATAAACTTTTCTAAAATTAAAGTTATTAACAAAAAGTAAATCTTTAAAATTGTTACTTGCACTTTTTGAAATTATAGTATTATTTTCTTTTATTTAAAAAAAATTTAAGTTATAAATACATTATTATATTAAGTACAAAAAACTAGCGTTTGTAAAAATGGCTTATTAAAGTTTGGTTGTATCAAGGTAAACAAATATCTTCAGCTTAGTTAAATATATGACTATAAATAATTATTATGTAGTCTATATTTTTCACCTTTTTTTTATCAACGTTTACCTGTAAATTTTACATTAAGAAAAGATTTTATTTTTCAAAGAGAATTAACAATGTCCTTCCAGCGATTGATTTTTATGTTCTAATGGGTTTCACAGCTTCATATATTATCGTTCAGTGTTTGTTATTTACTGTTAAAATTATCATCATAAAAAATATATATAAAAAACATTTAAAATGATAATGAATATAATGATTAGGGCTAGGAAAATAATGTACTAAAAACCTACAATAAATGCTCTAAAAAGTCACTAATAATGCTACAAAAGATATATTTTAACCGTGAAAATGTAAGAGTTCAGCTAAAAAAAATAATTAATATTGAACATTGTTTTCTATGTTAAAATAAATTAATTTCTAAAATATTAACACCTAAACACAATTTAGTATCTATGTAAAACAATAAATTAAAAATGGTTTTCTTAAATTTTAGATAGGTGTACCTAACTATTATATAAATTAATATAAATACTCAATAATATATGCAAAATTTGTTTTATGTAATGTTCTTTTACTTTTTAAAAATTTTTACCGATATGGCTATAACATTTCATTAGGTACGAAAAAACGAAATATATCTATAGTAATTTTACTTTATATTAATAAATACGTATTTAAATGTTTTAAAAATTTCAGTTATGTCTATAATTAACAAAAATAAAATATAAAAACTAAAAAACTGACACAATTACTAAAAATGAAGTTATTCATGAATATTATAAAAAATGCAAAAAAAATGTATAGCTGAACTCTGTGATGTATGAATCAAATATATTTTTTTGATTAAATATATACTAAAAAAAAAAATGCAAGTGCTACAAATCATATTATTATTAATAATGACAGATAATTTAATATTTTACTCTAGTGAAAAATATTAAATTTTATTAAACAATCAATTATTGTAAAACTTAATTAAAATGATTCAGAATAAACTCTTATGAGGATTTCCTTCTAAAAAATAAATATAAATTCACTCTATAATAGATTTTGTGTTACCAAATCTCTTGCAGATAACTAAATAATGTATATAATATCTAAATAATTTTCTTATAGAAATAGGTTTTTATATTATTATTTTTATATTTTAAAACTTTTTAAATATAGTAGTGTAAATATTTAAAGCCTACTATTAAATGTTTATTTTTAATCAAGTTAAATCTGTAAACCTTCTAGTTCTAAACATTGTAATAGTTATAACTTTAATTTTGCTTTTTTAGGTGAACAACGTGAAGATGCTGTGGTGAAATTAAAACCAAACGCCAAACGTTACGACTGTCCTCACTGTCCAGAAGTACTATATTTGACTCCTACTGAAATGCTTAAACATAAAAAATCACATTTGTAATTTATATTTTTATTATCATTATTATTGTAAATTTTACACGATTACACCATCATAAATATTTAATATCCAAATTGTCTTTTAACTATTCTCTTGTATTCGGTATTCTTAATACTAAAAGCCTGTGTTACATATTATCTTCATCAATCATGCACACGTAATGTGCCGTGATAGGTGACATTATGTAATACAGGTAACTTACCATATATAGTTGCTGGAGTGCGAATTTCTGCGGGTATATTATAATATAAGAGCATAATGCGATCTGATTACCTATAAAATTGATTGTCATATGCGTTTATAAGAAGATCAGAATATCCAAATATTAATATCTATCAATGATTATAGTAAAGCTGATTTTAGATAACAAGGAAAATAGTTGATTTTTAGTCGGTATAAAATACGAAACCAAGGAACTATGTCATTTTTTATGGTTAGGTCGAACCCATCCTTCTCGGTATCTAGTTGGTTGTTTGTTTTTCTTTATGTTTTTTAGTATTTAAAATGAAAAAATTTCAAACTAGGATAAAATATAATAAAAAATAATATTATATTATTAATTAAAGTGAGGGATAGAGGAGATGAAAATAGCTCTGTATCATCTTATTTTATTTTTTAATATTTTCTTATAAATGTCGATGAAAAAACTAAATCAATCAAAATTCTTGATAATTTAGTATGAGATCCATATATATGTTGTTCTTATATCTCAATAAAATTATTGAAATACATAGACATTATTTATTTATAAAAGTTCAAATTTGGACAAAATTACGTATTTTAATGACGTATAAGGATTATTCTGTTTCAAAAAAAAAAAAAATAAATAAATAAATAATATTATTCCTGGAAACTTAATACGTTTTTGTGCATTATAAATTATGGTATAATATATAATTATAAATTTATTGTACGCATTGAAATGTATTATATGATATTATCTGTCTATACCATGAATTTATTTTTATTATCTTATGGTATACACTGAAAGTTGTTCACGAATTTCGAGTTATAGGATTTAATATGATATGGTATAAACGAATATTACCTATTATAATAATTAGACACTAATAATAAATACAATATTTTCGGAAGAATTGTATAGATCTACCGCAATATTAAAAGTAAAATAAATGATTATAGCAGTATTAGAAAAACATATCATCAAAAAAATGTTCATAGCATAGTAATATAGTGTCGTAGGCCGTAGCTTATAGACTGTCTCTCCGCTCAAAATCGTTTTTCGCATACAATATGACAATTCATTGAATTCAAATCCGCAGTTAACGAGTTGTGTCCCGACTAAATTTATCGTACACGAATTGTGTTCCAATTGTTTTATGAAGTTTTACACAAGTTAAATAAAAAAAGTTTTTATAAATTCAAATCGAGAAATTTTTTCGTTTCAATGTTGTATAATTACCAACATATATTTTATAAAATAGTTACAGAATAAAATTCGATTCTATACTTTCAAAGTTTTGCCTAATATGTAATCTTATTAAAACTGTTAATGTAGTTATTTTTACTTTTTATTTATATTTATTAGGCAAAATAACATCAATTATTGTTATATTACATTAAAATTTTTACTATTATAATATGACGTTTTTTATACAAACTTCTTATTTTTCGTGTAAAATATAATATTTAACATACTTTTAATATTTCAATAGAAAAATTTCTCAATGTGAATTTATAAAAATTGTTTGATTTAAATGTTTGCTTTTTATGTTATATTATTAAAATTATTTGTGTAGTTATGTTTAATTTTTATTTATATTAGTTTGATCAAACTTGAGGGACACAATTCGTGTACTTCAAAAAAAAACTGAGGGACACAATTTGTGTAACCTGAAAAATACATAGGGACACAATTCAGTATTTGGAACACAACTCGTTTGCAGCCTTCAAATCACCCTTTATTGCAGTGACCCGTCCGAAACGTAATTGTAAAGCTAGGCAGTACCCACTTGCCTACTGCTTGTTGAATTTAAGAATTTTAATTATCGGACGTACTCATTTTTCCTCTCCTCACGATCTTGTATAAGTGCAGTGAATTGCATGCACGTCGATGGCGTGTGACATTCGTTTGTTGTGTGAAACGAGTTCTAGGTACGAAGTAACGTTATTGCTTATTGCTTAAGTATGTTGCGACCCAACCAAACCTTACGGACACACGCGTATAGTGGTCACGTACGCGTTTTGAAGGTGTCACGTCGTCTGCCGTTTGTGGTGTTTGAAGACTTCGGAGTGTCATGGCGAGTATCGGCACGACGCCGTTCTCTTAGTACCGCGGCGCGTGCATCAAGAAAACGGTAGATTTATCAGATTTATGGTTAAAACGGTTGACGGCCATTCGCACTCCTGAAATAGGGTATAGGGGATGACTTATAAATTCTAAATCCTTGTTTACAAATACTTACAAATTGTGCGCAAGACAATTGTGCACAGTCAAAGTTCAAAAAGCTCGATGAAGCGCGGCCAACTTATTTTTGGGGATAAATAGGGGACGAACGACTTACAAATTGTAAATCCGTGCTTTCAAATACTTACGAATCACGTAAGAGAATTTGGCACGATCAAAAACTTAAAAATTGTGAAACGGCTAAGTTTTGCAACACTTAGTCATGATTTGAACTTCTATGGATAATTGAAAACGGTTAAACTTACAAATTTCCAATTTGTGCTCACATTATAACTTACAATTGACTTCCAAATTTCGAATAAAAACTTTCACTTCCGATGGCAATCATCATGGAGCTCGCAGAGTCGCGTACAACAGACTGAGAACAGTGCGATATGGCGGCTCGCAGCCGTTAAGTAGTCACCGCGTCCGCTCTGTCGTCGGCCGTTCGGTGATAGTATTTCATGCGGGTTGTCAGTCCACGTACACGATGGGGCTGCAAGGTCCAACTCCAGCGACTGCGGTAACTGCGGTCGTGAAGATGCGGTAAGGTGCGTGCGTTCGGACGACTTGCCGTCGTTTGCGGTTACTTCCGGAGGAGAAGTCGCGGAGAAATGATCGAGTGGCCGAAGTGATCCCGTACCGCCGTCCACCAGGTGGCCGGCGACAAGCGCCGTCGGCCTCAGCAGCCGGCGAAAACTGTCTAACTGTCTATCCTCCGGTCACTGACCACGTGCATATACACGCTATCGGCGCGACCGGGTCACGGTATAAGGTAGTAAGCCGTTTATCCGAAATTCTCGTAACCACTCTTTTATACGGAATTCGACTTCCATTAGTGACGATGTAGACTTTACAATTTTAAATTTAATAGGTATTGGAAATGTGTTGTGTTTACGACTAAACAACTTATAAAAGTTTAAACGTTTCAAACGGGCTTCAAAGTACAATCTTTAAAAATATTTCATTAGATTTATTCCTCAGTGTAGAATAATAGTTAAAAATTATTCATATGTATCGCGGATGTCTATGCAATTGCATATTTTTTTCCTTTTACTTTTTTGGATTTTTGTCAGTTATTTTCACGAATCATAACAATTTGAATTTAATGGTGAATTTTTTTTTTGCATATTTCTGCATATTCAACGGTTATTGCATATTTTTGCATATTTCTACAAAATTCGAAATATATTGCATATTAAAGCAAAAATTTTAAAAAAATTGTGTGAAACAACATTTTGTCAAGTAGAAATATTAAAAATAATTTTGTTGGCATTAAATTATAATCATAGCGCGGATTTATACGCAATCGCTTATTATTTTTTTTTTTCATTTTTTTAGATTTTTTTCAGTTATCTTCACGAATCATAAGAATTTGAATTTAATGGTGAAATTTTATTTGTACATTTCTGTATGTTTTTAAAATATTCAGAATATATTGCATATTAAAACGAAATTTTTTTATATACTTAATTTATTTAAGTAATTAAATATTGTAAGTTGTTTAATTTGTAAATTTTATATAAATAAAAAAATTTTCATGCATATTTTTATGATTTTTACTGCATATTTCGATACTTTTTAGTGCATAAAAATCCGTGCTCTACTCCTATGGATAGCGTGTAGTTATACAGCCCATGAAAACCATTAAACAAAAAAATAAAAAAATATAAAGAAATAACAGTAAGTAATATATTATATTATTTCTAGGTATATAAAAATAAAATTTAATATAATATAAAGTACAAAAACATATAAGGTACATCGAAGCGTATGTAATTTCAACATTTTATAATATCCTTATTTTTTCATCATAGTGATACTTATGTTTACAACGATTTTTAATTTTTAAATAGTGATTTATTTTTTTAATTTCACAAAAGGAAAAAAAACATTTTTACAAATATGTTATTGCAAGATACAATATGTTTTAATAACAAACATAGACAAACAATTAAAATATTATATGGACTAAAATCGTGTCGGTTTCGACAAAATATAGATTTACCTAAAATAAGATATTTTACTTGTGAGAATTTTAATGTAGTTTTAGAAAATTATAAAGGTACTCTATTGTATGGAGCATATATTGGTAGTTTTTTTAATTATTTAAATGTTTTTTTGCTATCGTGATATAAATCATTTTTTGCTTTAAATTCAATTTATTAGTTGCAGGGTTAGACGTTATTCTCAGTAAAAATAATCTATACCTACCTACCAACCTTTTTCTTTCCTTTTTAATGTTACTATATTTATATAAAATGTAATTTGAGAAAAACATTTACTATTAAAAACATATAACAGAGGTATATATATAATATTGAAATATAATATGAACAATTATTATTATTATTTATAATCTATAGCTAATTAACATTAGGCAGGTCAGGTTTGCATTACCCTACAACCTACTAGAAACTAGAATTGTGTATAGTATAAAATGCTAAGTGTGTAATACGAAATTAAAAAATGAAGTGTGTAAAGGTCTAATTTTTTTTCTTAATTTTATTTTTGATTGACTTTGTAAACATATCTATTGTGCATAATGTATGTATCTATATTTTACGAATAAAGTAAAAATCATGCAAACTCGGAAATGCCCGGGAAAAATGTAATTTGTTGACTTTTGCTGTGATAAAATT